ACTCATCATTAATGACTTCAATAACGGCAACATCATGTACAACATTATTCACATCACATTTTACATGCATTAAATGTTAGATTGTAAAAAGGATGTATTATGTTTTTTTACACATGCATCACATGATGTGGATAACATCTAGATGTAAATGTGTTCATCATCATGATGTAAAATTAATTAATCATAATCATTTCAAATGTTAATAGTAGTGTGGTTGTTAATGCGATTATATTGTTGTTGTGTACATTTACATTCAGTTGTGTACATTTACATTCAAGATGTGTATGTGGTGATAACATCAAATGTAAATGTGTTTGTTAAACATGATGTTGTTGTAATGCATGCATGCACAATGGCTGTTGATCATTAGTCTTTTGTTGATTTTAATTATTATTATTAAATTAATAATAATTATTAGATGTATGTATTATCCATCATGTTGATGATAGTTGTTTGTTGTGTGTTGTTGATAATGTTGATAATGGGGATGATGGTGTGGTTGTTGATTGTTTGTGGCAGTTGACGATGATCATCGTGTTTAGGTAACCTGATTGTTTTAGAAGAACGGATTGGGTGCTATTCTTGGCCATTCAATTTTATGCAGAAGAATGGGAAAGTGCGTTATTTTTTTTTAAGCTTGAAATTTTATTAGTTAGTGGTATCACTTTATACCAAATATGTAAACTTCAGAACTTGTACATGGATAACACTCAAAATATTTGAGCAAGACAATCACATGGTACGTTGTTCGCGTCTACTTCACTTGTTGATGTTGTTGGTGATGTTGTTGTGGTAGAAAGTGAATCATGTGAGGATGATGATTCCAAGCCTTTGGTTTCTTCCTGTTGTAATTCTGAAAGAAGTAAATCCCAATAATAATTATCATTACTATCAGTTATATTACAATCATTACTACTACAACTAGTACTAGTACTACTATTAGTGGTGGTAGCATTGCTTGAATTAGATTCATTATTATTAGAATAATTTACAATTTGAGGAGAGAGTGGTGATTTAACTTTAACTTTCTCAGTTGTAACAATACTATCAACTGATAATCTTCTTCTACCATGATTCTTACTAATTTTACAATTACTATAATTATTAGAAATGAAATCATTAGATTCCAATGATGATGGTGATATTGCAGTCAAGCCTTGATGATACTGTTGAATAACATTAGGAATTATTGATGGTGGAGCTGATGATGTACTACTATTTGTAATATTAACAATTTTGTAAACAGTTAAATCATTTGAATGTTGTTGTTTATCAAATTCAAAATAATTTAATAGAAATTTATCATTTTGTAATGGTTTTCTCAATCTTGATTGTTTAATATGCATATTATTATTTCGTTGATTCACTTTAACTTTTAATGTTACATTATTAGTTTCATCAATGAATGACATTTTGTTATTATTATTATTAGTATTATATTTATTATTATTAGAAGATGCATTCCTAGGATTAAATACTTGTTGATACTCTTGTTTCATTTTGTTATTATTAATATTAGGCTTGTGATGATATTTTGTACTTTTTTATGAAGGAAATAGTAGGAATTATTAAATATCAGATTGAGTTAAATGGGATGATTTCTCAAATTTTCCTTTTTAGAAGCGAATCTAT